GCTTTTATAGTCTTAATGACTTTCTCAACCTTCCTAATCAGTTTAATAAAACAAATACAACAAACAGCTGAAATCAAGATGCTTTCTGTGGGAATCTGGTTTGAAAGAAATCAATACTTTGACGTCTGAAATTAGGTCCTTTATTTTTTCACACTTATTACTGAGTGTGTAACTCATTCATTCTTTTTGCAGTGCCTCTGACTAATCAACTACAGCATTAACTGGTAATAGGTTCAGCAAAAGGACTATAATCATAAGATTAGAGCAAAGCAATAAGCTCCTTAATACTTTTTGCCCTCAATGTAGCCACATAAATATGTATGTTGGGCATTGGAGGCCAGAGAAGGGCTTTCAGTATGGCAGCCTAACCCCCACAGGATGTACTGTGTAGCGATACTAATATTATGCTTTCTGCCTGGTAATTGGTTAGTATCCCACAATTACCACAATATTTCATAGCCTCATATCCCTCATTTAAAAACAAGACTGTGTTATTATTTTTAAAGTCCTAGATTATAGACATGAGGGAGGGCAAGGAAAGGTTTCAGGGAATACAATGTCAGATGGATATTTTTTTCATATATAACATTTTCAGTTTGGAAATGCTCCTCAAGTCAAAGAAGGCCCATGCTGGATTGGAAATTACTGGTATTATATTATCTTAATTCCAAATATTGTAATATTGTATTAATATTCTAATATATAATATTCTCAAATATTTTAAATCTAGATACAGTATTGAAGAAAATATAAGCACAAATAAAACTGTACCGTATGTGAAATACTGCATTACTCTAATGTGCAGCTAAAAAGTTTTTAAAAACATTTTTAAATGTGTATGCCACAAACAAATGTCCGTACAGAGCTTTGATATTTATCCCCTTTTCACTCACATTTGTGAAATCACATGGAGATGACAGGTTGTGATCATGCTGCCATATACATTACTGCATGTTTTTAACACTTTTGCATACTGACTTTCACTGGCCATTTTTAATGTGCCAATATGACATGGCACTGTCATATTTTAATTCTTTTTTTAATCCTGATGTAGATTTATGTATTAGCTAAGAAATCTGTGGTGTTTTAATGAGATGGTCTGGACCTTATCCTGGTGTCTTTCCATTGTTTATCAGCATGTTCTCAATTCAGTGTCTCCACATCCCTTAATGTAGACAAAAATAGGCAGTTTTTAACAAGTACGATCACAAATTATTGTGGCACTGTCTTTTCTTAATAGCCATCAAAAGAAAAGGCAAAGACTACAAAAGAATATGGTTTTTAATCATACTACTGAAAAAAAATGATTCCATTAATATGTACCACAATACAAAATGGGGCAGAGAATATATTGGAGTGATGAAAAGGTTTCTGTCCTTTGCAATTGCTATAGCTGCATTCTCAAAGCCATTAGCAGTATCAAGAGATCGATAGCCACATTTCCTTGTCTTTGCCTCTTACAGCCAATTCTATTTAATGCTTCTAAATTTCACATGAAGTCAATAGAACCACCTTTAAGCTCCATAATTTTTTGGATAATTCAGCATTGTTTTTCCTGACATACAGTACTTTTAAAATGCACTCCAACTGTGCTTCTGGGGCTCTAATCATACAGTAAGTGATGGGTGAAATATAAATCACTCCGAAGAAATTCGTAATCTAAAATTTGCACTTATAAGATTCTCATAGAGTTGCTACACCTCTTGTCTGAAGCATGCATTTTATTTTGTGCATTAAGCTTTCCATGTTTCAAATTACAACAACATTCTCCTGATATTCAAATTGCAAGCTCTTAAAGTACTGTACATCACAAGAGACAATTTTCTCATGAAACATGAACTTAAATCACATGCGTACTCTCTCAGGACTTTAATTCACTCACAGGGACATCAAAGCTGTACAGAGTCAGATATTTCAAACAATGGGCTGCCTGTGCTGTCACAGATTCCCCGTCTTGTGAGTTCTGGGCTGTAAACACCTGATTCGACAGCAGAGGTCATCACCTGCTGCAGATCTAATTCCTCTGTGCAAGAATATGAAACATGCTAATTGCCTGTCTCACCACCTACGTGATGGGCATTCCATTAAACGAGGAATAGGAGCAGGAAAAAATCAGTTAGAGATACTGTATATGAAGCACTGAAGAATAGTGTGGTAGGTTAGGTACAGTAGGTAGGTGGATTGATATTTCATTATTTTCAACAAAAGAGAACTGAAATTTACCAAACATGAAAGCTAACATATGATTATCATCAACACAGTCGAAACCTCTCTATTCATGTACCCCAAACATTTCGTCCTGCACCATTAATATTTTATTTTAAACAAACAATTTATACAAAGTTCAAATGGAAGCTAGGTCATTTAAAATATTTAAAGATAAAGCACAACAGTATAACTTTCTGAAAAAATCCTAGATATTTTAATTTATTTTCCCATCTCTTAAGCCTGTTGCAACTCCCTGCTAACCAGACTCTTTATGTAGATGGCAAGGACTCCATTTTTTCTATTGGTTTCTATCCAAATTTAAAAGCTGCAGCGTTTAACATTTCTTTTAGATATTTAAAGATAATAAATAGACTCTAAAACAGGACACTTAAGTGAAAAATTAAACGGCCAATAAATCTTTCTAGAAACCATCTCACTTTAAAAAGCTACCATGCATTCAAAATCCCCCAATAATGAGGCATAGCAGAGAGAGGCTCAGCTCTCTCTCATCAATCAGGAAAAAAAAAAACTGTCTACCCAGGTGCAGTACATTCACCCTGCCTTGTGGGAAAAGGAGATGGCCAGTGTTTTTTGCAGTGCATATTCTACCTCATACTGTACAAGTTTCCGTTGTTTCAAAATTCTGCTGCCCAGTTAAATATACATTATGTCAATGCCCCTGCCCCCCATTTAGCTTCTGAACTGTCAGCTAGCCCTTTCCAACAAATATTTTTTTCCTCTTTTAACAAATGTAAAGGGGGTCTACACACATTAGTGTATGCGGCAACATTGAGATAACAAAGTTATTAGTCACACAGTACTCCCTGTTGGACGCTTTAATAAGAAACCCACTTCCATTTCTGGAATCTGTCCTTCACCTTTGTAAGCATCCAATCCCATTTTTCTTTTGATGGTCAAGTGCTGCATAAATATACTTCTAAATGTCTAGAAACAGCTATGTCTACCTTCACTGCTGGCCAACCGTGCTGATTCCGTTTGATTTCTCCATACTCAGGTCTCCCGAGTGGCTTAGCTGTGTGCAGGTCGAGCTTTATGATAAAGGCATATCAGTGACCAGGATTCTCCAGGCTAGGGGGCACAACTGGCTGAGTGCTGCTGGGGGGAGGATGGGATTATTCAGCCAGTGCTCTCTGCACTCTCAGCACCCGAAATACTGTACATAACAAACTTCGGCTTCCCTCAGCCAATTAGCCAAGGTCAGAGAAAATCTATAATAGTCTGTGGAAAGCGTGCCCAAAGGATACCACGCCTAAATGTAACACAAATATACGCTAGCATAGATATCTGTCAGTTTAAAGGTAGTTCATGGCCCTGAATTCTTTCTACAAACATGTTGAAGAGATCATTACTAAAACCTAAAAGTTTTTTATACAATTCATGAAACATTGCAGAGTCTTGGCATAGCATAGTCATTTCAGAACATCCAAGAACCCCTGCAGCGTCTGCACTTCTTCCAATCATTTCCTCTGAAAGCTGTGGCAATTCAACAAATCCACAGTAAAACATTCACCTTCTTCTCCAATGACTGCAACTCCAAGCAGAACCGCACAGATAACTGCTGGTTAACTTCAGACTCAAGAGCACCTGCTCTGTAGCCGTCCTCAAGCTGTGCTTCATTTCACCAGAGCTGAATTCTTTTCCTGAGCAGATAAGTATTTATTCAGAGCATCCTCTTGTGACAGATTCTGAAATGTTGATCGTACGGATGCCCTCAGAATCTGTGCATCCAAAAGATCTGCTAATTTATTCTTTTTACATTCAACTTCCTGAAACAGCCTGTCACTATAATAGGATTCCAGGTCTCTGCCGAGCTCAGTAATGTCTTTCTCCATCTCTATCATTGAGGTGGTGCTCCGAATTAATTTTAGTATACTGTTGACAAACAAACATAAACCCAGCACTTTTTTCAAAGATTTAAATGTAAGCCTTACCATTTTGCTACCACTAAAAAGAAAATAAAACTTTTGAATGAATGCTTATATTCTAACAATTAAAAATTGAAATGGCCACAAGCTGTTCACCTATGCATGCAAGGACCAAATGCATTTAAAAACACCAACTGACCAGAAAAACAAAACTAGTAAAGAATGCATATTTAAAAGATAATTCAAATGTCTAAATAATCATTATTTATTCATTATTATTACCCTAGTTAGAGGACATTTAACATAATCAGCAGATCTCTAATAAAATAATAGTCAGAAACAATTGCTTTCTTATCAGTACCTCATTCTTCATCTATACTGAGGGAGCCAAGTGTAAAACTTTTATGTTAAAATAAAAGCATTCTAACAGACTATCAGAAAATAGGAGAAACATACCACAACAGACATATAGGATAAAATGAACTACATGGTCAAATAAGTGTATACATTATATACAATATTTATTGAAGTATAGGTCTCAAAAAGACATAAACAGCCTGTGCTGTATTCCTATTGCACAGTGTCTTTAAAATCAGTTCTGAAGAGATTCAATACAATGTCTTATATTGACTGCAATTTAGAGGAAAATTATCATTTTAAATGCATGGCTTTGAGCCACATGCACAGCATTTGGGAATGTCTGTGGCTCCTAGAGGACCCATATATCTTTCCATTCATCTTTACTAAAATTAACCTAACCACAAGACTAATGGAAACTCTCAACTCTGACTCTGGATGTTCGGCGTTTTAGGAAGATGGATTAGTAATCACCATCTGTAACATGCAGCCACAGAATCAAAGGACAGTGAGAAAAAAGAATTGAGGGAATTTCTTTTCTCCTCTTACCTTGGATGGGCTTCTGTTTCCTGTTGAAAAACAGAAAAAAGATGGCACAACAATAAGAATATAAGAAAATGTGACTGACAATGGACAAGTTGCTATGCAGTTTTCACTATTCAATATGTAAACATTGGGTTAGCTCTGTGTTTTTTCCATCTCTTATCTTAATGTCTCTATTCTGCTCATTGTCTTGGGGACAATGCAATGCAAAGCAGCAATGGATTATTTAGATTTGTTTCTTTTTGTGATCTCAAATTGTAGTAGATAGTTTTTACTGTAACAGACATTGGCTGAACTGGTGCAACCACATGTATTGTATGCTCATAAAAGATTGTGGGAATATGGAACAAGCTACCCAGGCACATTGTTGAAGCAGGTACCCTGGCTTCCAGCAATAAATGGCTTCATAAGTTCCTTTACCTACTAGCAAACAAGCAAGATGAGTTTAATGTCCTCCTCTTGTGCATGACCTGTCTTATGTATTGTGAAACCTTAGCCCAGACAAAATGGCCAAACCACCTATACCAGAAGTCTCTGGGGAATGAGCTGCTGATGCCCTCTGCCATTTCATCAGTCATCGCATGATGATTGGGCAGGTGAGCATTTAAAAAGCAGGAAACTGAGGCTTCTTGAGCCAGTCAGTAAGTTCAGGCAGCCAAGTGAGTGACAAGCTCTGTGAGATTTCAAACAGGACTGACCAAGGACCTGGAACTGAAGGAGAAACATGACTTCTGGGAGCTGTCAAAAGCCAGTAAGCAGCTACTGTAGCTGTCCACTTGGATAGTAAGGGATTGAAGACGTTTAGCCAGGAGATCAATGAGGAGTAAGGCTTTAGTTAATTTTTGTTTTGAAAAGCTATAGGACATGCTCTCTCTTCCATATTCTCACAAGAAACTAGCCAACATTTCTTTATAATTGTATAGACAGTGTCAGCTATAACTTACTGTTAACAGGCTGAATATTCAGTAAACAATGATATATCATGTGTGATGGTCTGATAGCTTACATTTGAACATAGCAATTGAGAAAAACAATATAAAAAGATTACATAAATACATAAATAGAAAGTATTAGTGTCTCTAGAGCAATCATAGCAGTAGAATAAAGCACACAAATTAAATTATAATACACAGACAGAAATGAGCTGCTCAAGAGGGGCTACGTATACAGGTAAGAGGTGTCTGATAACGCCAGTGTTTTGTTTTCCCCTGGAAGGTTCACATGGAAATATAAAAAATAAAAAAGCCTACCTGAATGATCAACACAATACTGCAATCATGAGTTCAAAGGGAATAGATGGCTCAGCATTCTGAACAGCCCGGCTTTCACACATTTGACTTAGAGACACATGGAATCACATCTCTCTAAAATTAACTAACACTGAATATAGTATTTGTGTGGGTGAAATCCTTTTTCTACTAAAATACTTCAGTGTGAACACTGTTGAGCTTCTCTTGTGGCATTCCTTCTCACAGCTTCTGTGTCTTGGGTTTTATGTGGAGATTGGGTGCCTGTGTGCAGAACCCCCTGGGAACAGTGGGTTTTCCTCAGGTGCTGTTGTGTCTTCCCACCTGACAGGTGCAGCTCTGTCCTTCATTTCTTTTAATCCGATAGTGGTTGTGTGTGAGCTCAGACCATATGCAATGAATGAATACCACTTGGCATACCCTCTTTTGAGAAGTCTAGGCCATGTTTTTTTTTTTTACACACTATTATCTCCATGGTACCTTAAAGCAAATTTTTCACCAGCTGCAGGACAGCTGCAGCTACATGGCTGTAAGCTCTCCCAAGACCAAATGGTACTGGGAATCATTATTGCATGGTGAATCAAGGTAAATGTCTCTAATTAAAACCCTCCAAACTCTTGAAAGATCCGGTGACACAATCTAGATTAACCTGTGTGGTGAGCAAGCACCTTTTTATAATTTAACTGTTTGAAGTTTAATTGACAATGTAGAGTGGGAATGACCGAGCACATACACTTGAATAGCAAACAGCACAGAGCTCATAACACTCCTCTCCTGCTAACACTGTACCAGACAGCAGACTCTTTGCAAGATAGAGGCCAGAGACCACAAATATTCTTTAACTTTAATTAGTGTGGAAATGGCAGTCATTCTGAAAGTGTAATTCAAAGAACAATAATCACAAAGAAAGGTATGGTACAACACAGGAGCCTTTAAATAAGCACAGTATAGCTGCATGCATTATAAACTTCCTACTGTATGTTAATTGCCTTCTTTTGTATAAAACAAGTGATAACACTGTGCTCAGTCTGAACAAAAATAGCCTCATTAGCGGCAGAATCTTATTTCCTAGAGCTTTGTTAGTCAGAATCAGATGGTTCCAGTTGACCTGTTTATACTTCTTCTGCACGGTGATCTATTGATGGTATAGTCTAGTATGTATAATCTTTTTCTTTGTAAGTAAGCCTGTTATCATGGCTGTGTTGTGCCCACAATCCTCTTAGTGAGATATACCAGTACTCTAAATACAGAAATACAGACTTCATGAAATGTGAGCTAATATCATCATTATTATCAATATGCATTCTGCCAAAGACACCTTGTAGGAGGGGACTTACATATTTCTACAGAGAATTAGACACAAATGGGGCTCTTCCTGTTACATTCCATAGACTGCAATTACAACACTGCCATGATTTGACACATTAAATATGTCTACAGGCCTATTCTGCTGATATCTACTCTATCACTGCAATGACTGATCAGTAGATAAGGTCTGTGCAGCAGCAGGCAATGCATTTTTTTTAAATAACATCTACGGAGCATTGCCTAGCTGCTATTTTGAGCTCACCAGTAATTGACTCCCAAGTAGTTTCTGTCAGCATATCAAATTCAAAAGTTCTACTGCTTGTTGTCAGATTCTAGGTTGTAGCAACACCTCATCCATATAAATACAATTTTCCTCAGTGATTGTTTGCATTATTAGAATCTTATTTCCTCATAGGCCAGGTATAAAAGCTATGTTGTGCTCACTTAACCCTGGGTGTTTTTAAGGGAGGGAAAATATTGAAACATAAGAACATAAAAGGTTCATTAATAGGAGTGTTGTTAGCCTTAGGAGGATTGCTGGGTAGCTTGTTCCAGACAGCTACAACACCTTTGTGTAAAATGTTTTTTTTTTCCTGGGCTAAGTTTTAAATGCACTGTCCTATAGTTTCCATTTGTTGTCCTATGATTAACATACCATATTTTGTTTCCTTAACTACAGTTGGTAGAAAACCATCAGGTCCTGGAGAATTAAGTGCTTCAAGTATGAAGTAGTCTTATGCTGTTATTAAATATAGAACTTTGACTTCATTGTCATTTCTACTTCAGTAAACATCTGAGTGAAATCTTCATTTAATACATTACATTATCTCTTTTGACTGTCTGATGTTTTCCTTCATTTTGTCTAATCCATGTTATTTCATACCTTACTGTTCTTTTGTTGTAAAACTGTAAATTATTTTAACCTCTATTGCAGTATACCTTATTATCTCTCTTATTGGCTTTCCTAATAAAAGCCAAAGCAGAACTCCCAGTAATGATTCCCAAACTAGCCCTGATTGTCTTAAAACATCTTCCATAGGATGATTTTTACTATTCATTTCATATCACAAAGAATTATATTACTTTTAACATTAATTAAAACGTTTCTGACCTGAGACAAAACCTCTAGAAACATTGTTACTAACTGTAATTAATTCAAAGCATATGAAAATGGATGTAATGATCATCCCTCTTGGTAAGTGAACTAGAGGAGAAGAAGTCATTTGTTCATGGTTTTAAGACCTAAAATGAAAATCAATTGTTTCTTTGAAAAATAAAGGGTAGACCCATCTATAATACTCCTGTGCCCTGACAGCTGGGTTAATAAGATCATTCTCCCTATGTTTAGAAAACATACCTAAGTCCTTGAGCTGAATAACCCCCCCTGTGATGATTTCCTGGGCTTCTGCCAAACAGAACTGATAAACCACAGTGAGCCTGGCTGAATTTCGAGTCTTTTTTTCCCCTGCTTTACTGCTCTGATTTAATCTAGGTCTATTTGTGTGAAAATCCATGCTGGGAAAGCAGTGGGCCAAACGTTAGCCATGGCAATGCTGAAAATCTCTCATGCATCCCTCCCTCTCAGCTGCACTGTCCCACACTGCACCCGCTTTCAAAATAAACAAGTAAAGGTTAATTTCATGCTGAAAAGTAGAAAGGAGGATCACGATGTTTTGGCTGTCGAGCCTTCATCAGCTGTGTGAAGAAAAAATGATTTTTTCTTTCTGCTTTTCAGTGAGGAATTAAACTCTACTTATTCTTTTGCGGCATAAGCAAGCTGCCACAGTTCCCTACCCAGTCTTTCAAAATAGAGTCAGTTTGTAAAGGGCATCACTGTACTGATGGAAGAACCCACACAATTATGCTGTGCATTTTTTAATGGTATTCATGTATTAATGGTATTCAATTTCTTTCATGTATAAATTTTAAATGACTATAATAAGGAAAAAGTATGTGTATAAATGCATATACTGTAACTCTACATGATTTCATATTGCATCAAGTCTTTAAGGGATATTACATATTATATAAAATACATCTGCACCAAGAACCACACAGGCGTGTGTCACTACCAACAGACACTAAGAGATTAGGAAGTTATCTGTTGTTCTCTGACCATCTGTCAGTGAGTTAGTGTCTCTGGAACTTTAGGAGAGATTCTAAGACAGTGCAGACTGGAGCAGAGGAGATTTAAACACTGATACTCTGTCCCTGAGACAAGAATAACAAGAATAGAAGAGGTGCAATAAAGTTCCCTCACTGATACACTACAGATCAAAGTAGAAGAGACATGTATCCACTCAGAGACTCACGGAGACTGTGCAAAGAGAACAGAAGAGGCTCAACAACACTGAGTTGTCTAACGTTCTTATCAGGCTACAGTATGTTAATTTCCAGAAACGTGAGAGTTTGACTTCCTGCATAAGCAGACCTGCATTGCCTTTCACATCTGCGGAGGCTTGTGGTTGAACAGGTGACTGGCATCCTTGCTGATGATCAACAGACAGTGTTAAGTTTACTGTCTATGGGAAATCAGATATTTGCTCATTATGCATTCTTTTGCTGTTACTGAAGTATTTGAACTATTAATAACAACAAATTATTTGAAAAGGTCTAGCTAGCAAGGTGGAAATGTCATGGGAGAATACTTTCATCACACTGTCTCTCTACTGTACAGTATGTGTTTATGTCTTGTGGGGTGCCAATGACAAACCCCATGTTGTCCTCTGGAATAAGGAAATGGAAGACGTAGTCAACAGATGTCACTATGATGGGTGTGCAAAATATTCTTGTCAAGGATTTGCATGATTTGGCCTAAATGATTTGGGATTTTGGATAATTAGATTTTTGTACATTCATACTAATTTAGTCTGACTTAAATGTAATATTAATCATCGTCAAAGTGCAACTAAAGTGTCCTCAGACATTCTGTTGAAAGGTGGTATAATATTTAATTATCTTGCTTAGGAGAGGAGAAGGGAAGATATCCGTATTGACATATTCCAATGCATCAGTACAACACCCGTGGGGAAACAACCGAAGCATTAGGCAGGTGAACAGCCAAAGCACACACTTCTTCAGTCACGACAGCTCTGTAGACATAACTCTGTCCATGATGGATCTGAATATAATGCAAATATGTTCTTCTTGCGCTAGAGGGAGGCTTCTCTTCTGGCTCCAGAGGCTGCAGTGGGAGGAGATCCCATTGGCTGTTTGTTATTACAGAGAGGCTGAGGAGCATTCTGTTACTATACAACCACCTCACGTATCTGAGGTCTGCTGTTTTGTACAACTTATGTTTTTTTGTGATTTGGGCCTAATTTCTCTTTTAAGAGAAGCAATTTGAAAATTGTGCTTTGCTGTTGCTCCATTTCCCTACTGCATGTTGTCTGTTTAAACCTTAATGACACACACGCACTGAAGCAGAAAGCTTCTCAACAGGACTTCTCAGAAACTCTTAATATCCTATATGCAATGGAAATATAGTTTGGTGAAGTTCTTGCAGCAGCTATTGTTATTGACAGCGCTGGGGCCTTAGGTTCAATTCCTGCTTTGTGTGCAGGCTTTGTACTGTATGTTCTCCCCATGTTCGCGTGGGTTTCCTCCAGGTGACTCACTTTCTGGGAAAATAGGCCCTGGTGTGTGTGTGTGCATGTCTGTGTGTGTTGTCCCATCCAGGGCATATTCTCCCATTCGCCCACTGTTTTCTGGGTTAGGCACCAGCTCCCCCTGCTACCCTGTACTGCTGTACATACGTGGACAAGAAGATAGATGGATAGGATTGTAAATTATTTCTGTTTTCATTTATTATCTATAAAGTTGAGCATTGAAAACTATTTATAAGAGCAACAATCCTGAAAAAGGGTACACTTACCATTTGTTTTATTACTGTGCATTGATATGGCTACAGATACATAGGTTCTGAGCAGCACAAAAATGTTTTTTTGAGTTGGCTTTCATGGAGTCAGTCTGAATTATTTTAGCAGCTCTAACTGCTACAAACACAGTGGTCACAGAGGAGAGAGAGAATGGCAGCAGAGAAGAGGTAGGGCTCTCACCAAGGGGTTGCTCTCCTCTCCATGGTCCAGGGCACCCAGCTGCTTGGTGATGGAGGCCATCTCTTCTTGTAACTTCTCAGTGTGCACGGTGATCTCTGCTATCTTCTCTGCTGCCTGCGCGGTCAGGAAGGCCTCTTTTAGGTCCACCAGGTGTAGCGTGCGCTTCTCCTCCTGCCGGACCAGCTGGTGCAGCTCGTCAAACTGCTCGTTTACATAAGCCTCCAGCTCAGCTGTGCTCATCTAACAGAGACAGAGGGAAGTAACACCATTACCAGGGGAAAGCACACTAGTTGTACAGGGTTACTCAAACAAGCTTGGTAGCTTTAAAAAGTATGACAGATATTTTAACTTGAAGCTAAAATATGAAGCTGAAAAAATAACATTTTTCAGGAAAAAAAATACTATTTGCACATACACATTCTGAATACGTGGCTCAGGGTGGAATAATCACGAGGGGACTGAAATTTAAAGATGGATTTTAGTTCAAAGAAGAGCAGAAAATTAAACAAGGCTTGAAGGCAGCACAACAAAGCCATTCCTTAACAGTACTGAAGAGCAGAGACATTCATCCGTTCCTAATGGTTGAATACTGAGTGCCCCAAGTGGTCAATTAACTGATTGACTGACCAATGCGAATGTGGCAATCCTACTTATCTTCATAATTGCTACTGAAGTGCTCAGTGAACTGGAGGATGCTTCCATGGGTGTTGCTGGATGAGTGCCAGGGCTGTTCCGAGGCATCTATGTGAAAGAGGAGCCCATGCATACAGTATATCCAGTATATCCAAAATGAATCAAGCTGAGTTTCGATGGACTACTGACTAATACATGCATTGTAATTAGATTCAATGGGCTACTGTGCTTTTCCATGACGAATTAAGAATCATATCCCAATTAGTAGCTCTAGGACATCAGGGATCATTAAGTGCCTTGAAAATGCAAATCATAGCATATAATGCCATTCTTCAGGGTTAGATGTCAACTCTTAGGCCAAAGAGTTGTTGATCCAACAACACAGTCATGGATGTAAGCAGTGGGTATACACTAGCTGAAATTGATGTCTTTGCCTGACTTTGACTATGCAAACTGCTTGACTTGCTCATAGGTCTCAGGTGACATTTAATTTGACATTGCATGCATGAAATGGTTTGAACACATTGCAAAATATTGCAGTACTGTTGCAGTACTATTATCATGACAAAAGTTATATAGTGTCAGGCAGTATGTCTGTATGGTATCTTTCAATAGAAATGACATTTTTATTAATTGTAAATGTAATTCATTATTTTCAGAACATCTTGTATATTTTTCTTTATAAAAGTAGTCCCTCAGAAATTATAAATACTGATGGTAGATTTAATGGGTATCTTTAGTTATTGTTCATGTGAAATAGAAAGAAAAGTGAGTGATAGGTTTAAAAACAGCCTTTAACCCCATAAAAAATACGAGAGATACACTTGACTTAAAGCACAGTTATAGACAGATTTGCAGACCTGCAAATTCATAGACCACTCCCTTTCTTTCCTGCTGCATGACAGGAAACCATTGTTACTGGTATGAAATTCAGAAGAGAGAAAAGACAGAGATTTTTTTTCCCAAATCCCTGAATTCAAAATAATAATCATTAAAACTCTCTGTGGCCATATGGTCAGTTGGCCAAGATTAGTCATCATTATTTCTTTAGAAAAGTATTTGGGTTTCTTCAGTTTCAGAAAGGACTCAGTGGGGAAAGATGTGTTTTACCATTTTCTTTCCAGCCATCAGGCCTTAATTAGACATTGGGTGTGTTTTCACTTTCAGTCCTTTCTTTTGAAGTTTGTCTACATCTTTGTCTAACATTTCCGAATGTTTGAAGACACAACATCAGTATTTTAAAGATCTAAACGTCATTTTAAATACTGACACTGATTTTAAAACACACCTCCTCATAAATACATGTATTTCAGCAATACATATTGAAATAACCTAAAATGTGAAGATTTCAGGTTATTTAAATATGTATGGCTGAAATACATGTATTTATAAGGGGGTGTATTTTAAATAAAATGAAAACCCGTAATTATGCCGTAATTATATTTGTACCAAAAGCCCACAGCTACAATTACGATTTCAAGGACTACAAGAAACCAGCATCAAAGGAAGGCCGAGATTGAACATAATGAAAATGTTTAACAAATGCTCTCTTCTAAGGGAAATTGAAATAATATTAAATTTGAAAAAGTAAAAAAAAAAATTCTCTTTTGGTGTAAACAGCCTGATCAGAAAACCAGATTTCTGAAATAAGAGGAAGAGCAACAAGGCTGGAGCAGTTATGAATATGAAGTGTGAGTGATATGGCCAACTCATCTGTGCCTTAAAAAGAGGTTGACCACTGTGTGCAGCCAATCTCTAAAGACACTCTCTCTCCAGTGTGTAAACATGCCCAATAATACAACAGTAGTAGAGAACCTAGAGATCCGTAACGTACTGTATGATCATGTTCACCCTTTGTGGATATTTCTGCATTTGAAAAGTATATTCAAATATATTTGCTTACATTTTGAAAATATTTCTTTATTCTCAAAAGTATTCCAATATATCTGTGGCAGGCCAGACTTTGAGGTACTATTTAACAGCTGACCCGCCACTAGAGGCCATGAAACCCCTATTATTGTGAACAGACACACAGTTAGGAGGGTTTAGAGGAACGTTCTCCAAACAGTAGGTATGATTAATGGCATGCCTGAGTATACAAAGGGTCTCATGGTGTTAATTGGTGTTTGGGGAGTAATATATCAGTCTGGAGAGGCCAATTAGAAGTATAAATGAATTATTTTCAAGAATACGATTATTTACAAGAATTAATAATGCATATTATTTACAATAAAGGTTTCTGTACTGTCAAGTATTGTCCAAAACCTGTAATATGGATTTTTATGTGCTCGGATTCATTGCTTTGCCTTGTTTAATGGTAAGGTCCACCACAATATCTTTGTCCCTTTTTTCATCTTATACTGGAAACAATTTAAAATGTTTCCAGTATATATAGTATATATCCTTTTCCTAATTTATATTTCCTTTCCTAATCTGAACTTTGACAATTTTTTTAGCAAAAAGCAGAATCCATTCACGTCACTGCTCTCCTGTAAAATTAAAACACATGCACAGTGCCTCTGTGTCTCCTGTAACTTGAAAAGCTGCACTTTGATTTCAAAACAACTGAAATGTGATATAGTTTTAAATCTTTGTCTTTGCCCTAAAGGGCCTACTGAGGTACAATTGATTTAAATATGGCAGCTCTGTAGCAATGGATTGAAAGTTACTTCACAGAGATTACTCTGAGAATCCAAACTCTCCTTGGTAGTACTGCCATGGGGTCTTATTCCTCACATTTCATGCTCCGGTGGAGTGCATTCAGGAGCAGTCTTGCCTACAACAAAAAATGTATTCTGAATTTCCTGCACAAGTTAATTGAAATAAATGACTATTTGCATACCACTTAACTAATTAAATCCATTCAGTTCTCATTCTGTCCCTCCCTGTCTGTTCTCTTTCTTTGGAAATAGTGTTAATAATTCAAAAGCCCAGAGGATGAGATTTAAATGCAAGAGAATGGGCAGATGAAGTGAGTAACCATGTGGCGGTTGACCTCCTAGAGTAATTTCTCAAAGTGAGGTGTCCACCGAGGACAAAGCTTTATCTATGAAGCCAGGACAGCAGTTTGCCTTTCCTACTGTGTCACTACACTAGGAAGCCAGAAAGCAGTCCCTTCTCTTTTCTACTGACAGATGGAGCCCACTTTGAACATCCATCCTTCATCCTTGTTCTGTCTTCCCACTTCAGCGAGATCTGAATGATGCATCTGTTTGGAGTAACTAGAAGCAGTGATGCATCCTAATCTTAATTTGCACTCATGTAAGTACAGGTCTCCAGCGAGAGGCACAGACAAAGGGGCTGCCTCATTTACATTTCCTAAGGCTTGGCAATGACTTTCAGAGCTGAAGCACATGGTCAGGGTCACAGAAGTATTTCCAGAACAGGGGGGCTGGTGGGAGAGAGAGACCCAGATGAAAATGCACTAGAACAATTATACTGTTGTCACTCCATAGGAAAACCATAGGAAATTACAGTACGCCATACTATAACTCTGCAAATATCTTATGATATTTTCTCTTGCTACAGTGCCAAGATTTAATGTTATTACCATAGAACTCATCCATAGTAATTATAAAAAATAATTATGATATATTGTATACATGGTTAACTGTGCAAATTCTTATAATACCAACAATATTATTTTAGCCATGTTAACATTTTGACCACCATGTAACCCCTTCAATCCCAAAAAATAGTATTAAATTGCAATCTGGGAGTCCTGTTTTTAATATTTGCAACAAGTATTCTGCAGGTCTTTAGTGTGGGGTTTTTCAGGAATCTTTCTAATGATATTCTCAAATATTTTGTTGATTAAACCAACATGACCAATGTCTAGGATATTGATTTTCTAAACCCCAATTTTGATTTCTATATCTAGATTAATTACTTATTATTTTATCTATTCTCCATTTCTTTTGTTAATGCAATTTTGTTTTAGGTACTGCAATGTTCTCCTCTGCACTGATAGCTGATGTGTGGTGAGCGTTCTGGTGCGCTATGGTTGCCGTTGCATCATCCAGGAGGAACCTGCACACTGGTGGTGGAGGGGAGTCCCTATGACCTGTAAAGCTCTTTGAGTGGAGTGTCCAGAAATAAGTGTAAGCAATTATTATTATAATTATTAATTATTAACCATATTGAAGCTAAAAAATAATTATAAAAAATAAGAAATTAGAAAAGCTAAGAAAGATATAGGAAGGACTACTTCAAAATGGAGATTGAGAACAATTAAAGAACAGTAAATGTTAAAGAATTTAGGATAATGATGGGAAACAACTGGACAATGAAAGCAAAAAGACATGTTACATTATGTTCTAGATGAGAATTTCACTTGGATGTTTACCAAGGAAGAAATCAACAACAGGCTTCAGAAAGCAGCAGAACACTGGAAGGTCATTTAAGTTCTTAAAGTTCTGTATTAAACAGTTAGCATATATGTGTTTTGCCAACTAGAAGCAATAACTATTACAAAACGTCCAAGGCCTGATGGTATCCTACCAATTGCACTTAAGGAAGCCAGATGTTGTTTAAAGCTCTTGTCACAGTTTCTAATATCATGTTCATTCACAAGAAGGGTGACAAAACAGACCCAAGAAATAACAGACCAATACACTTGCCTTCTGTCAACATGCAATCCTATGGAAACAACTTTTATAACTAAATTGGGTGATCGCCTGTTTTGAAATAACATCATCGGGGACAGTGATTATGTATTTTGAAAACGTATGTCTTGCCTTACCAACTTGTTCAAATTATTTGAAGAAGCAACAACAGTAATGGACACACACAGAGCATACGATAAGATGCTTTTATATTTGCAAAAGGCTTTCGATAAAATTCCTCATAATAGATTAATGCTCAAATTACATGCAGTACACATTGAGGTAAAAGTGTGTATTTGCATTGAGATGTTGTTAAAGGATAGCCAACGGAGAGTAATGTTGAGGAGTGAATACTTATATTGGGATGTTGCGCACAGTGGAGTACCACAGGGTGCTGTATTGGGACCACTACTCTTCCTTATATCAGTGATATTGATTGCGGTATAATTAGCAAACCAGTCAAGTGTGCAGGTGATGCTTTAAAAAGAGGAGCAGCAAAAACTGTAGCAACATTAAATTAAATTAAAATGATCTTGATCAAGAGAATCATGGCAGATGGTTTTTAATGTAGAAAAAACAGGGTCTTGCGTGCAACAAAGACATACAATTTATATACTGTATGAAATGGTGTTTCTGTTGTTACATAATTTAAATTTACTAGACTGTGGAATAGCAAAAAAAAACTGTTAGCATATACTGTATCGTTAAGAGGATAGTATTTATCAATTAATTTAAAATGCGTCAAGCTGATGTGCCAAATTTTTAGATGACATGAAAATATTCTTCCATATTATGTCAAATATAGTGGTAATTGGTAACTTATTAAGATCTCTACCCTAAATGGATATGATTGGCAGAGCACCAATATTGTAAGATAAACTGCTATCAGAGAAATAGCACTGTTATTCAATGTTCTATAAAGTTCAGGTTTGGTGTTCTTCTTTGTACCTGGTACTGCCACCACTGAGCTTTCTAATTTTTTTTCTGCTCTGTACTCTCTGTGATATATTTACACAACTATTTTTAGTTCCTCTTCCTCAGGGATGAGGTTTAAAAATAATAAAAAAACAAGGCATCCAATGGATGTTATGTTAATTGTAGTCTTTTATTATTTGTAAAGCAAGACAGTCTTTGAAATATTGTGCACATTTTTATCACAGCATTTGAGGAAAAGTGTTGATGTTAAAAACTGGTGCTGACATACAGTATATCTTTTTTTTTCCGTTAGCATTTGCTGACATTTACTTAACTTATCTCACCTTTAGAAGTCTTCAGTTTGAGGATTTGGGCTTTGCATGAAATATAAAGTTTAAAAATGTGTACATGCATCTGTCACGTACAGTCCAGCCAGCTTGGGTACTGTAGCTCCTTAAGAGCGGTCATTCCACAGTAATTGACAGCTGAGCCCCTCTCCATTTAAATGTCTGCCATCTCATAAGCAGGAGTGTGAGGCACTGTAGCACGTGAGCAGGCAAGTGCAGGACACCTGGAAGTGCCAGCGGAAGGCTCAAGGAGCACAAGAGCTCCTGAACCAGCCGGAGAGCCACAGGGCTAGCAGAAGAGGACCGGCTGTCATACTGAGCAGGCATTAAACAGAAAGGGCCACTAGGAAAACCACTGGTGACTGTTCTCATCGGCTGAAGGTACTTTTTCGATTCACGCTGTGAATTGTTTACCTCGGAAACTTCTGAACTACTTCTTAGTTTAGCAGATAAGGGACACTACAGTGTTTAAACTTCAGCTTCCCTCAACTCTACACCTGTTCTGTCCTTTGCCAAAAACAGCATTTTGTAATTTTTCAAAATGGTACACCATAGGAAGGGTAAGAATACTACTTACTACATCCATATCAGACTTAGCCCTTACAGTCTGAACAGGCTTGATTTAATCAAGATCGGGCACTGGGGAGCTTTCACAGAGACATCTACATTGCAGCAAAGCACATAACAAATAAAGATGAGCATGACTATGCTAAACAAACCCTTTAGAGTGCACAAGTTCTCTTAAATTAAACTCTTCTGCTGTTTTGTCTGGCAAGTTTTGCAACTTGAGAGTTTTACACTTTGTAGGAAAAGCGTACTTTAACAATGCATTAAAGTAAACAGCCTTGCACATTTCCCCCCAGTAATCACCATCTACTAATTAATAAGTTCCCAGAGAATCCTGTTAATTACTGTGACATAATTATTTGTTTTTTCCAAACCCCAAACATGTTATACACTGGATGACGTTTTGAGGAGAGATGGGAGCTTTTCTTTTCTTTTCTTTTGTTTTTTATTATGAACATAAAAAATGCAATTTAAAGTTCCATGCTTCAGTACCCAAAATCTCTTATTTGTTCCTGCAAACTGCATTTAAGCTCCTGGGTAATGATACAAGAAGGTAATTAAATTAGAAAAAAACAATATGTAGTTCAACTGATTAGACTTTTTCTTTATTCTGTTCTCAATCTTTGAGATGGATTAAATGTCTGCTGCTCCCTCACTATTGCATGAAACACAAATGGGGCAATTTCTAATTAAATCCTGCCAAATGCTGCTCCTATTACTGCCAGATACACAGGGTGTGCTCTGTTTTTAATGTCTTGTGCAAAACTGAAACAAAAGTAATTATGCTGAATCCCTGCACTAGTTTTCTGTTCAAGGCTCTGTTAAAAAAACAGAGGAAATGAAAATAATTTGTTTTTGTATTTATTCTGTTACAATGAAAATAACCCCCTGACTATAATTACAGTATATAACTATATATCAAATCTTATATTTTCTTAAATAGCACAGAATAGCTTACAGAGATTATAGTTACTAGATTCAACTAATGTGGACAGATGTTTTTTATAGCTTTTTTATGGTTCTTTCCTTGTTGCTTCTCTCTGGTCAACTCTTACCAGTTCACCAGAAACAGACTCTTGAAGCTGTATAGGATGTTTAAGATTCAGTGATCACCTGCATGAAATATATGGTACATTAGCCAATTTCCTTTTATTGTCTGAAAGTTTTCAATTATTGACCTGGGTACATTTTACTTCATTCTTTACAGTTTCTGTAGTAGTGACACAAAGTGACTGAAGTGTGAGTTGTGCGTATAATAGGCAATGGGTTTTTGTGTGCATCTTTTCTCTTTCGTTGTTCTGTCTGGCACCATGACATAATCATTACACTGTTTGCCTGGACACCAATCAACTATCACATAGTCAGGGGGAATGCAAGGGAACTGGAGGGGGATTGTTGCTGGGACAGAGGAAAGACTCAAGATAGAGGAAGGAGAAACAGTGCACTGTAACACCTGGCAGTTTGCATACAATCGTGGACTGCATGTTCCTCCCCTTTGCTTGTGTTTGCCTGACTTTCTTGAACACTGATCGGACACTGAACACTGATTTAATCCTGGAGTTCCATCTGATGATAAGAGCACATGGAGAGTGGATTTGCTGGCCAAAAGGAGAATATTAGAACCCTGGCCAGTAGGGAGTGTGGGCTGAGCTTTTAGCTCTCTCTCTCTCGCCCTGTTTCTTGCTGCAGACAGCAGGGCAGTGGAGGTACTATATAATGGAAAGTATTGTTTGGGACTCTCAGGATGAAGGAAGATGTCAGAGAGATCAAAGTGTTGCACTGAGTAATTTTTCACCTTAAGGGCAGCAGAATGAGGTGGGCCTGGATGACCATGCTGAGATGATTCAGAGAGAGATGGAAATTTGCAGCCTGCAAAAGGTGCTTTCTTTGGTTTATTTTTTTCTTTTCTTACTTAGGACTTTTTTGCATTTATACAGCAATATATTGCAGTGGTTTCAAGTGTGATAGAATAAAAACTGAATTTTCTAATCTACCCGTGAAGCGCTGGTCTGCGGTCGCACTGGTAGCAGTGACAGAGCTGACATCCTGTGCAGGGAGAAGGGTCCTGAAACGTGAAAAAGTGCTGGGCGGCATACTGTGCTACAAAGCAGTACCTGCATGGTGTGACTACAGTGACCATAGTACTGAAATAATTTTATTTTAGTCTTTTCTGCAATATTCTTTTACTTCTTCTTCCTCTCTCTTAGCCTTTCTAAACATGTATTTTTTTACCTGTATGTGCAATTTATTTTACTCCTGTTCTGTAACTAAGAATAAGCCTATAAAGAGGTTAGAAAAGAGTTGTGGGAGTATGGGACAAACAGAAATGTTGTTGAAGCCAATACCTGGGCTTCCTTCCCTGAAATGCCTGGATGAGATCCACAGATCAGTTAAGTACTAACCACCAAAGGGCTCAATGGATGGAATGACATCCTGTCATTTTTCTTATGTTCCCCTGTTTTTTGTAAAAAATAACTCTGCGATGAGCATTAAAATGACAAGAGATGCTCGGCACAGATGGGTGCATACTGTAGTTAGCTCTCTCAACTTACATTAGGACAGTTCCATCTGGACTTCAGCTTCTCGGCCATCTCCATAGTCTGGGCCAGGATGTCTACTGGTTCCTTACTCTACAGGAAAAAAGAGTAAGAGAAAATGATATTAGTAAGTTCTGAATGGAGAAACACCTCCACTGAGTCACCTGACTTTAAAAAATAAAACAAATAAAACAATATACAAACAAATTTGGCTTTCTTGGAGTAAAAACTGAAATGGCAGCAGTGAATTCAAAGACTTAAATGCTTTGTTGACTGTGCAGCAATTGATCTCAAAACTGGACTTGAAGATTAAAAGAGGCAGAGGTGCTGAATACTCAGAGGTTCAGGTGAGGAGCTTTATCACTGTGAATGCTGCAGAGGAATAAGGAGATTAATTAGCATATAGCATGTATTAATGACATGCCAAAAACAGGAAGAGAAAAAACGTTTTGACTGTGGAGCCTATTTAATTGTGAGGGAGAAAGAGGAAAAGAGCAAAAATACAGTATAAAGACAAGGGGTAGGTAAGGAGCACTAAAAAAGAATGTGAGAAAGCCTATGCAAATGAATTGAAATCTGAGTGCTAAATTCTAGCGAAGTGTGAAAAGCTGAAATCTTTAAATGAATGAAGAGTCTTAAAATAATTTGTATAATATGAATTTGCATGTGTAAGATTTCCATTGTATTTTTTTCTTCTTTCTACCTTTCAGAGTGCAATTAACCTCTACTTGTGATTTTTTTCAGCTATTACTACCATCTACTGTGCGTACATTTCTGTAGATTAAAGTACTGTTTTAGTTTTCTGCTACAAAAAATTACCTTTGCATTTTCTCTATGTGAATGTAAAGCTGAAAAAGGCACATCACCTTCACAAGCTACAGCAGAATTACAGTTTAACATTAATAAAAGTCTAAACATTGTACCGCTTAAATCCTATAATTAGAAAAGGATTGTCCCTCAGCATAGACCGGGATTCAAAACCAGGCATTTTCTGGTAACAGCCCAAATGCTCCACACGTCCCTTTAAGCTTTCATAGCTCCACCTGGTGAATTTACAAAGAACTGTAGTCACATTACTGAAAATATCTAAAATGCTGCGGTTCCCTGCAGTCTGCTGCAGCCACTCGCAGTCTCACGCAGCCGCTCAACCGCAAACCACTGCAGTATCCCTCGCGCTTGACTGGATCTGTACAAACTCAGGAAATGGCTCTTCTGGAGACCACGACAAGCCCAGAATATTCCTTTTCCAGCTTCTCAGTTGTACTGATAGATAACATAGCTGCTTATGAAAAAAACAGGTGATCTGACTCCATTTGATTGGCACTTTGCTGTCATCCCATCTCGCGAATTGACTCTAATGCCAAGCCGTAGGCAAAGCTGCCAAGAAGGGTTGAGTGACTTTATTTATGGTTGGTCCTAAAGCCGATAGGTTTGTGTTCAATTTTCATTAATATCATAATTTCACACGCAAACCCTTTTGTAATGGTGCAAATAAGTAGCAGGTGTTCTTCTCAGTTTCCTATTTCAAGGGGCTGTCATTAGGGATGCCCAATTTCACCTCCATGGTTTGCCTTGTCTTTGAACAACTAGCTTAAGTTGTCCCATCATCTAATGTTTCTGCATCCAGGTTAGTTAATCACAATTTGAACACTACATATTGTTCTGTGCTGATGGTGTATTGCTACAGTATGTGTAGACAAGGTCTCCTCAATGTTTTTTGCTAATTATTTTCAATGACTGAGGTCCTTTATCAAGATGCGCTAGCTGAAGTGTGTATCACAAGCATTAAGTTTTGCAGAGGATAAAATTCTCTAAAAGTCTTGGCTCTGTCTGTGCCACTGGTCAAAATCTTTATATACTTCAATGATGAGATTTACTCTTGTTTACATTACATCACAGTAAACTGGTTTAAAAACATTTTATTAAAAAACACTGATGCTGGGTGGTACATTTTCCAAAATCTCTTTAAGCTCCAGTCTCCATAACCAAAAATGAATGTGGTTACTTGCTTTATTATTTTATTTTTGTGATTCCTCTTTCTTATCCATTGGTGTGCTGGGTTATCCTGCATTCTGTACTCTATGTTTGTCTATGCCTTGTCTCTCTATTCTTCAAGCTCTATTCTTCAACTTGTTCCTCCCAGGGATGTGTATTGTCTCACCTATTCTTTGCTCTGCCATGATTGTACAGTATGTACTGTATAGAAAGGATCAAAAACTTTACAATTTGTCACAAGTGCTTTGTATTCTTGTTTTAGAAAACATTTTCACTTACAGTATAAAAATGATAATCAGATTTAGAGAGATTAGGAGAGCAAATGCCTTGTAGATAATATTTTTATGGATAATGTTTATACATTTCCATTCAGAAATATACATTTTACATGCCTGACAATGCCCCTGTCTTTTGCTACGTTTCCCTTATAATGTTCTTGAGCTATTTCACATGTATTCCTTTATGTGTTAAAGAGACATAATCCTGTAAAATTCCTATGATTTAGTCAGGTATCTAATCATCTGTCCATTTTCCCCTAAATGTTTAGTCCAAAGGGCCATTGTGAAGCAAATTTATAGTCCATGGTGGGGGCCACGCACACAGTACAAACTGGCCAACTGCTTTCCCATGTATCTAGACTGCAGGAACCTGCTGTTTCCTCCTTTAAAGTGCAGCTGGAAACTAAAGCACCCAGAAAAACTCCCACGGCCATACAAACCTCCGAGCAAAAAGTACCCCATGACAGAATGAAGCCCAGGCCTCAAGCACTATGAGACAGCAGTACTGGCAACCAGACCAACCTTGTCAATATTGACCACGTGTTACTTGAACACATACAGTATATACACTGTAGCTCAGCATCTTCAAATTGCAATGACTTTTAATTGTTTGAAAGACTATTACTTTAAATCCGAAGGTAACAGAACTATTTATTTTAAATGCACCAGAAAGAATAAGAGGTCACATGCAATATGAATGCAGAGAACATTCATATTGCATATAAATAACATATTGTAAAGCGATCTTATCTCGCTCCATTTCAAAACCATGAAACACAATGATGTTCTTGACGAGATAATTGCCTCACCCCTGCAGACTTAAAAGGTTCTGTGTTGATGTTTCTGCTGAGGTTGCTATTTGCCATGGTAACTGTTCCAAAAATCAAGTAAATGTATTCTTCTAGAGTGATCATGTGGAAGTAGGATGGAGAAGAATGTCAGTGCAGGGCAAGCTTTCAGGTGCTTCAGAGAGCTGTGCAACACTAATTTCATTCCTCTCCCTTCTGTTACCATAGTAGCATCATGAAAGGACTCCTTTAATAAATTGCAATTGTTAAGGGTAACATAACTGTTTTTTAAACCGTTCTAAAGTTAAGATCCAGACTTGTCAGTTAGGTGGGCTTGTGGTGAATGGAGAATTTAGGTGTCTGGTGAGGAGATTAAGAGAGAATAAAGAAGCTTATTTTCTGTAAAGAAAAAAACAGATGGAGGGCAAAACATTAGTTTCCTGTTTGAGGCAAACGATTCAAATGTCAGTAGTTCAGTTACTGGGATAAAAAATGGGTATTTCAAGATCTTATGTAAAGTTATAGGAGCTTTAGTACAATTAGTAAGCCAATTCAAAAATGCAAAATGAAAGAATTATTTTGCTGAATTGACTTCAAGTTTGAACTGTTTAATATGCAGAAAACTCTTGAGTCCTTGGGGTGGATTATCTTTTCGTTGTGGGACTGTGGTTCTGTGTCAGTCATGGAATGTTAGTAGTAATTCCTTTTTGTTTTTAGTGGGCATTTGGGACTGTGATCTCATTGGAGGAAAGACTTGTAGACATGTAAATTGCATGTAAATTTATCTGAACTACCAACCAACAGCAGTGAGTGGCAGCCTGCAGTGGAATCACAGAGCCAATTTACTTCTACTTGTATATTGTTATTTAATTGTATTGGATCAAGTGGCAATATAGATTACAAACACAATATTGCTGCTTTAAATATGTTACTTTTACTACCTCTGGTTACAGGTATTGGAATTGTCAATTTTCTGTGCTACTGTTACTGTTAACACCTACAGTAGAGCTGATTGTTTCTTGTGAATCCCTAATCTCTGAAAAAAAAAACGTTTGATGCTCCTAAGGCTAAGACACATTAGTTGTAGTCCTAACTTGTCCTATGTAGTCCTATGTTTTTCAGTTCTGGAAAAGTTATCATAAACGGCAAATGTACACCGAGCAAATTATGTACAAGCATTTACTATGGGTGGAGCAGAGGCTGTCTATCCTGGGTCCTGGTGTGTTTTATAGTTTCCATTGCAGTTAAGATCTAAATGTCTTGATTAGATCAATAAATTGCCTAATTACAAGACGTTAACATGCTTTCCATAACTGCTCATTGACAACTTAAGGTATCCTGTATGATCTGCAGGACTATGGCTGTCCAGTGCCAGGACTGGACACCACATATCAGATCTCAGATATGTAATCAGGTACCATACAATCTTTAAGTAATCCACCCAAACAAGTTTTTTAACCCCCATTCTTTTGGGCATTAGTATATAAAGGTGGTTTCTAAGAACTGAAAATTCTGGTTTCTGTTGTGTATTACAGAGAGGTAAGTTCAAACCATTTCTGTTGCAGTCTTTTGCACATGTACCGTATAACAACAGTAAATGCTTTACGTTTCAATTGTGTTATTTGTAGTATATATTCAAAATATTGATATACTGAATATAGTTTTTGAGTTTTATCCATGTAATCGCCACAGTAATCTGCACCATGGATAACCATGCAATGGGAATCTTAATCATAGCACTGCTGAAGGATTTTAAGGAAGGACAAAATTAAGATAAAATGCAGATGATACACTACCACTTTTAATTTTATTTTCAGTAGAAAACAGGTTGAATTTGAAATGCCTCATAAAGGTTAATGATTTCAGAAAACAAGAAATTGAGGTGAAATGGCACAAAGATATTGGATAATTAAGCATGGTAAGATAAAGATGTTAGAGATACTGTATGTGAGATCAATATTGTGTGCAGGGAATGCTCCAATGAAAATAAATTCAATTTGATCAGTAGCAACCTGAATTTTGCATATATAGTATATTTTATGGACAGCAGAGAATGCAAAGGCTTTTCAGATTATATTCTCTATTTTAAAAAAAAACTTAAATCTTTTATATAAAAGCGACAATTCCAACTTCCAATTCCAAGGGAGTCTACATTAATTTTCTCTGAGTTTTATTTTCTTCTCCATAAAAAACAAATGGATCCCTTTAACCATTATACTTTAAAAAAAGAGACACCAGATACGGACCACTGCCAAACAGTCAGAGGACTGAATGTTTACACCAATACCACCAAAAGATGAGTCAGGAGCCTAACAGGATAGATGTCTGTTGCACTCCTTTCACCATTCTTCTTTCATAGACAAACCACATATCCCAAAAAGATTAGTGGTTACTCCTCTCTTTCAGAGACCTAGGGTACAGGAGTAACCTAATGTTCCTCCTTACTTCAACCAACGTGATAATTCAGCAATAATGTTGCCCATCACCTGATGTTTGACATGCCACTTCAATGGAGAAAACCAAATGAGACTTTGCTAGGATCCCCTTAAGCATGATACTGCAAACATTGTCTCTCCCACACCAGGTGCAAGAGCAAGGTGTTTAAATTCGGCAGGGGCGAGCGAGAAACTGAGCTGAAGACGGTGGTCTGTAAAGTGAGCTCTTTGCGATTCATCCAGTACCCTGGATAGTGTGAAAACCAACTAATTGTTCATTTGATTCCAAAAATGTATTCCATGCCACTGCAGAGGAGAGAGGGAGAAAGAGAAACATGTATGCACTTGGAAAACATGTGCAAACCGAGAGATAGACCAAAGGGGAACCTGAAAAGTTTGTAGGCCTGGAAAGTGAACTGAAGATATTTTCTGTGAACTGGGCATCTAGGAATGTGAAAATAAGCATCATTAACCACAGACACCACGGCAGACAAACTGGAAAATGTGCTCGTGCATGAGCATTTTGTAAACAAAATGTCTGCAAAAGTGGGCAAATTTCAGAAGGATTTGCACTTCATGCCAGACCAGATGGTGTTTTGCACACAGGTTGATTAGCTTCTGGATCGTCAGTGCAGTATGTGGTGAGGTTATGATTTTTTGTCTTGTGCTAACAAGAAACACTTTGCTGCTTGAGGTTTGTAAGTCTCTCCAGACTTCACTTCCCAGTGGAAAATCAATGCTGTATGCCAGATGACTAATCATGTAACGTCTCATTAAATTTAGTAGCTTGAATTGAACAATAGAATTGTCATAGATTAAGCTGATGCTTTTATTTACACTCCTGGTCATAAAGAAAAATAATGATGCTTGCATTACCTTCTAAAAGCTGTCTTCATACAAGCACTTCAGTTGTGTGCCCACAGCGGGCGATAATAGTGTCCACAGGAGGAATGCACATGATTGTTCACAAATTCTATATGGTTATTATTTGGAGTCCAGCATTTAGTAAGAAACACACTATAAATGCTGTATTTAAGAGTCATGGCCAATGTATAATTGATCCAAGGAGGGTGTGGGTATTATTACATTAATAGAGGATGCTTGCATCTAAAATAGAGCTGCTGCAAGAGAGGAAGCACAGCCTTCTGTTGATCTTCATGCAGCTGAGAGGGTTTGGTCATTTGGAAAGCCATGCGAGAACATTCCCAAAGCTACACTCTTGTGCACTATGGTACAGGAGGGACTGTGAGTGAATAACAAAGAAGCTGTTGGGTGGTGAGAAGCTGCAGCAAACTGTTTAGGATGTGAGGAAGTGCAATTTCTGTCCCAGGACTCAGGGATAATCTGACGCATACTCACACCCCAAAGCAATTTTCCCCAAAGCCAATTGATTTAATAGTTTGTCTTTGGACTGTGTGAGGAAACCAAAGCTCATGAACAGGGGAACATCCATTCTCCACACAGATAGCTCACCAGGAAAGCAATCCAGGCTCCAGTGACCCTTGTTTCACCATGCTGCCCATATGGTACTAAATGTAGTGTTTTAATGATATTAAGTGACTTGTTATGAAGGGAATGTATTGTTTCAGTGTTCAGTTATAGGAGTGCTATATGCCTCTGGAGCTTCATTAGAGGTCATTAGATACAGTTAATTGGATAGCCTCTGCTCTGTATTATCCATGTTAAAAATGCCAAATTCTTATATTCAGTTATTTCTGTTAATTAAGAAAATTAGAGTTAAAAAAGCATTAACAATGAGAAGAGTGCCAGGTCTTTTAGTTTTCATTGTCCCTTGTCCCAAAGATGTAAAGTAAACAAAAACAACAACAGTAATAGTAATAATAATGCCAATTCATAGATGGGGATTATTAGGAGGCCATGACCTGTAAAGGCCAGGGGGAAAGTTGGTCAGGACACTGGGGTAACACCTCCACTCTTTTTAAGAAACACCCTGTGAGTTTTACTGACCAGGGAGAGTCAGGACCTTAGTTTTACATCTCACCTGAAGGATATCAACTTTCTTAGAGTATGGTGTCCTTGTCACTAGACTGGGGCATCTGGACCCACACAGACTGCAGGGTGAGCACCCCCTACTGACCCCACTAACACCTCTTCCAGCAACAACCTTAGCTTTCCCAGGAGGTCTCACATCTAGGTACTGGTCACGCTCACAGCTGCTGAGCTTCAGTGATTTCCCAGTTGTGAGTAGCAAGGTGATATAGGATTTTGTGAACAGTACCTAGTTAATATTTAATGTATTGCTACAATTTTGATTCACAGTTGTCTGTTGGAAAGTATTATTAATGTGAACTAGCTGGACTATCACAGATTTAAACAGTGTTTTACATTTCAGTTTTACTGTAGGTTTAAGACAAGGCCTAAGAGATTATTAAAAATCTATAAATTAATATAAACATAAAGTTAGACAGGAGATGCAGATGGAGATGGAGGTTGCACAGGAGCAAAAAACTTTGGAAATTGTTCTGTTAACCTTCATCTTGTTACCCAGGGTGCATTACAAGATTATTACTGCTACTCAGAGCGATACGGGGACACTCACTTTCTGCCACACGTATGCATCCCTCAGGGTTATGACCTCATGGCCTGCATGAGACCCCTGAACAGCACACACCACACAGATGATCTTCTCATCAAGCCTGCAGTACAGCGTCCCCTCCTGGCCGTGCTCCTTGCATCGCAGCCTCTCCACTGTGACACTGTCCCTCGCTTTTCCGTTCTCAGCCACCTCTCCTCCCATCGCTCCTTCCTCTATCCCTGGGACACCATCCACCTCCTTCCCTCCTTGAGCTCCTTGTCCCTCCTTGGCCTTCTCTTCTGGCAGGTATGGCTCCAGATCGTGCCTGGTGCTCTGGAGGTGCTTGTCCGCATGCGCATTGCAGAAGGCAAAGTTGCAAAAGTGGCATATTTTAACAGCTGGCTGGGCCTCATCTGGCTCACAGGCATCGCATGTCCCATCGTTCTGCAGCTCCTCCTTATCTAGCTCCACCATGCCGTCCATCGGGTTCCCCCCAGCGCTGTCAGTGTGGAGCACGCGACCACAACGCAGAGCTCTAATTCCTCAGAACCACTCAGCAGATCAGCAGATTTCCACAGCTGCAGCTTTGTGGGGGAGATTTATCAGTTTTAGGCAGCTGGCTTGGTTGTTTTGTGTCTTGTGTCTGTCTTCACCCTGACTGTTCTAATCTTATTCCTCCTCTTCCTCGCCTTTTACAAAGTTTCCCGTCTGTACACATAGACACACACACAGCTTAGTCACGCTGTGCCTGCTTGTTCCCACATAGGATTAAGCCGCGCTCTTTGCCATGAATTTCTCTTTCGTTTTTTCAAATTCTCTTTGTTGGACAGTGCCCCATCCCCCACTTTTCTGCTGCTCTGCTGGGGAACAGCTCCCACTGCAACGACTGCTGCTTCTCAAGCTGCTTCGCCCGCCTGTCTGTCTGCCTCCTTGCCTGACACAAAACAACTTCTCTTACCAGGCTTCCAGCTCAGTCTTCACTCTCTCAGCTATCTAGTCTCTAGCTCCACTCCTGTTCTTTTCTCCCGCTCCTTCTGTGTGTCACAATGTATTTCTCTGTCCGCCTTTGTGATGAACGAACGCTGCAGTGTAAACTAAGAGCCCAGACAGCCGAAGAGACCTGCACAGCTGCCCTCCCTCAGCTACTTTCACTTTAGAAGCAGATTTCACTTCCTTGATTTTTTTACTTCCTGGTTTTGACGAGTCTAAAGCAGGAAAGTGCAGGTGGGAGGGAGTTAAGCTGCTCAACAACAAATTTCAAGTACCAGCTCAAAACAAACTGACGCTATACCAGGATGATATTAGAAATGCAGGTTATAATATGGCTGTTTTGTTTTCCAGCATTGTCTTCTGGAACAGGGTGTATTCAAACACAATTGTATAGGCTAATGCATGAAAAACTGCTTAGGAAAAAAACGTCCTGTCTTTTAATGAAATGTTGAACATCCCTATTGTGATACAGTACATGCTGAAACTATTATGTTTGTTCCAGCCATACAGGGATGGGTCTGGCATCTGCTACTGAATCCACATAAGAAACAGACATTATTTTTAAAAGAATATTATTAAAGTATCATATCAATATATGTTGCAATATGAAAAACAGATGAGCATAATTAAATATACTAATGAAACACAAACATCTATTTTTCAATACATTTTCATAGTGTACTTAATATTGATATGTATATTGTAGTAGCTTCTGTATTCCATACTTTTGACGAAGCTTAATAAAAGCTGGTTTAGCAAACAAAACAAAAACAGGATTTGCAACATCTATGACTGAAAATGCAAATATATATGTAAAAGAATATTGCACATACTCCTTTTATTCGCACCTTAAATATGTTTACAAATGGTGACACAGGTTAAACAAAAATGTTGGAGTTCCATTCTACACAGTGTAAACTTTGGGTGTCTAAGGATTGTCATTGAGTCTGACCTTTTGCACCTCTGTGCCACAAGCCAAACTTGGGATGATTTAAGATAATTCTCACCACTTCCTCCTGCTCTTATTCAACACAAGCTTTCAAACCTGCTTGTTCACTTTGCTAGTTGCGTTGTCTCTCAGGCTCTACTGTCACCTATCTCTCAGTCTTGCCTTCTCCATAACACATCCCCAGAAGTGTGTTAACTTGGATGTCAACTGCACAAAAATGTGAAAATATTTTACGATTCAGTAATTTTTCCAGATTCTGTTTTGTGAATTGTACCTTCTTAGCAGATTCATTATCTTCGTTTGGGGGTCCAAGAATTGGATCTTTCACTTCCCTGACTCTTCTGTAATAACTGATGAATTCTGCTTTGGCAATAGGGCGTCTGTCTAATTACTGTACATTCGGAGGTTCTGACAGTCCCAATTTTATGGCCAGGTACTGATTTGCCCCAGTAAAACTCATTTTTCAGATCAAGCATCTTCTGCTTTTACATTAGGGTTTCACTACTAGACTAGTATGAAGTATGATTACAGAAACTTTCTCTTGAGAAGCTCAAACATGGACACAAACAAACTTTACAGTATATCAACATAAAGCCTACATGAAGCGTAACAATCAAATGTTTTAGAGAGAATACAAACCAATGTTTTTGATTGGTAATCGGAGTCTCTAGCAGAATAATTATGACGTGAGTTGAAGAAAGCACAAGCCATACAAACTGAAGGAGCTGGAAAGGTTCTGCAAGGAAGAGTGTAGGATAAATATCCCTTGTGAGAACCCATCAAAAAGCTACAGTAAGTACCTCATTGACTTTCATAGAGGGTTCACAGATTTTCATGCTTTTAGTTACAGTTTATCAAAGCGTATGCATCACATTTGGAGGATACATTATATATAGAAGCTCTTAAGAGTCTGTAAAAATATGTTGAAATATTACTTTATGTTTTAATGTTAATGTAAATGTCTATTTTAATAAGGAAAATTTTAAAAAGGGTGCTCAGTTAAATATCAGGCACATCTCAAGGAATACACATCAATTACTGTAAGTAAGCACAAATACCAGAAGAAACTGACATAAAAATGTTGAATGAAATATACAACTTTTTGTTATTGACTAATTACACTATTTTGTAAGTTGTATCCTCATATTCTAATGTGGCGTTAAAAAATGTTGTAGGTGGCACAGTGGTCAGCATAGCTGCCTCAGTGTTAGGGCGTTGGAGTTCAATGCTTGGGGTACCATCTGCGTGGAGTATGTATGTTCTTCACTTGCTGTTGTTGTTACTGCTGTTCTGTGTTTATGTTTTTGGTAATTCCTTCAATGCCTTTGTATTGGAGCATACATGCAAATAAGCATTTAATTGCACTTGTGCATATGACAATAAACTGAACTGAACTGGAATAAATTAAAAATGTTATGTAATGAATAAAACACCACATTAAATAACTTACTAGCAGGCATTTCTTTAATCTTTTAAGCTCTAATAAAAAAATGTTTCAGGTTTTCAAGCAAGGCCCTAGATTTTAGTGAAGTGTTTAACAAACACCTTTTTATAAACAAATAGTGAGAAAAAGTCTAGACAGGTGTTACAATGCCATGGTCTGATTTGCAATCATTAGTCTAGAAATGAGGCATTAACAATTCATTAACAAGGGGGGAATGAGGGTCATATATAACACTGGCCCTCAGAAAATATAATTAATCAGGAATGGCAACAACATGGCCAGGGACATTATATTGCTATGGCTCTGGAAACGCACTGACGGTCTGGGGGTTTTGTGCATTATGCTTACAACAGCAGAAGAACCATTAATCTATTTTTTGAATGAGCTTTGTACTGAATGAAGATCACTATTGACCCAACATCCAAACTGTCTAAGTCCCTAAAGCTAATTCTTTTGTAGACCATATTCTGGAAGAAGATAAACAAAGGAAAGCCATTTTGCTGTTCTAACTCTGTTAAGAGTGGTGTAATTGGATATTGTGTATAAACAAAACATGATAGTTCTCACTTATTTGATGCACAAAGCAGTAAAGAAAGCTGGTCTTAGAAAGTATCTTGGATGATGAACACAATGCTCGTATACAGTCATTTTATAAACACATTGGTTTTGTACAAATACAGTACATTCATTTTTGTCAATAGCAGGTATATAATTCCTTTTACATCTCCTCCAAGACAATAACAACCCTACCTAAAATAAAGTCAGTATATTTAATATTCTCATTGTATAAAAACAGCATAGTTATTCACAATCGATACAAAAGATTTTGTAAGGTAAAAAAGTGACTGGCCTGACAATACAGGATATTCTTTCACATGAAATTGATAGTGAATATGAACGATTACAACACTGTTCACAACTCTAAAAACTAAATAGGATACAAAAGAAGAAATATGTGTATTTATATTTAATAAAAATCGCAACAAATGTTTTTAAGTCAAAAGTTTCAAAGCACCAAAGTATCTAAAACGTGGACTAGGGTAATTTATATCATTTTCCTTAAAACAAATATTTGGCGAGACTGTGAGGACATCTGGAGAATGTTAGAGGTTTTCATGGTGTGACAGAGAATCAAAGCAATAATATTCAATGTGTATGTTTATATTATATTTGAAAGCTGTACATATTCCCAGAGAGTATGATCTTGAATAATAACTTTTCTTAATTTCTAATGCCAGCTGTAAACTGAAATTTATTTCTATGTGTCCTAGTTATATCTAAGGCACAGATGGATCCCAAAATTTTACGAGGCTATTTAGTCTGAAATGGAAGCTTTCTGTTGAGAAGCTCAAATATGGACACAAACAGACAATAGTATAACAACATAAAAACTGGATGAAACATAACAAACAAAGGTATCAGAGAGAATACAAAATGAATGTTTTTAAGTCTCTAGCAGAATTGAATATGTGAAAAGAAAAACACAGATAAGCACAGGCCACACAACCTGAAGGGGCCTGAAAGGTTCTGTGAGGAGGAGTGGATACATTTCCCCTATAAAAAGAATGTACACATGAGAAATTCACTGGTTTTCATGCTAAACTAGCTCTTTTAGCTACAGTTTATCAAGGTATGAATGAAGTTTGGAGGTTGTAGTATACTGTATATAATAGGAGTCTCTTAATGCTACTAATTTATATTGTTGTTTATTGGAAATACATAATTTCTTATGCACAAGAAAATTATAGCTAGAAACCCTTAATTTGAAGAAAGTTGAAGAAAGCAAAGTTGTGGTTTTGATGTTGTCAGAAATATAAACATTTTGTACCTAGTGCCTTAGAGACTAAACAGAAAGGAGTCCCACTGTGCTGAATGGATGATCAGGATTCACGTGGGAGGAAGAGTTTTTCCTTCTCAACTTTTTTTCCAAAAGAAAATAATGTTCTTGTTTTCTATTTGCATGTTTTAGTGTTTAGAGGCAAACAATCTCAATAGACCAACCGTGCGATTTATTTTTGTGAGCAAATGTTTGTTTTTATTTTCCCCAAATACAAAAAAAATTACATATCAGTAAAAATTGTTGAGGCTCAGTGTTATAATGAAGTGATGGAGAATGAGTAAGGGAGATGGTGTTCATGATCAGGACTGGACTGAAAGCAGGCACAGTCTTCAGGGCAGGAGCAGACAGGGAGACTGCACTCTCGTGCTGGGGACATTGGAGCCCCTGCTGTGGTGTTTGGCAGGAGTCTGTTCTGACGGGCGGATCAGATTCAGGACAGGTGGAGTTTTTCAGGAAAAATCAGGTGGAGTATACTCCGGTGACACAGGCTAGTATTGCTACTTGCGCTGCCATTTTCTTGAAGCAGCTCAATGACAGAGCGCTGGATCAGTGGCATAACAGGGTTTAAAAAGTGTGGTCATGATGGATTGAGCATCTGTTAATTGGTCAAAGGGGACCAGAAAACCCATCCTGAGTGAGACCGAGTGGAATGTTTCTCTTCATGGGAATGTACTCAGTCAACTGGTCTGTGTGGAGTGGAATATTATCTAAAGTACAGGCTTCACATAGTGTGAAAATTTGCTTTTTTTCAACTGAATTTTCTGTGTTGGTTTCTTATACTGACTATACTCCATGGATTACTGATCATTTGCTCTGTGAAGGCAGTGCCTCATAACCTGGTGTCACGGATGTTGGAAAGAGCATGCCATGGAATGGCCAGGAGAGCAGTAAATACCCAATGAGTAGCGGCAAAAGGGGCAACATGGAGGTTAGCCCGGG